GGCATTCTTGCTTAAAAACATGATATAAATGATTAAAATTGTCGCAGATTAATTTGATTAACTGAGCAATCAACTACCAATTTCAACATAATACACGTTATGAATAATAAAAGGTCACATTTCTAGAACATTAACAGACTGTTCTAACAGGACTAACCTTTAAGTCCCATTTTCTGTAACTCTCAGACTATAAACATTTAACAATGTTCCTGAAATGCCTGTCTGGCCAAGAAACCACTGCCCTTTCATTAGGGGGGTAGAACTTTATTGATCCCACAGTGGGGAAATTCCAGTGTTCCAGCAGCAGTGAGGGACAAAAACAACAGAGATCAAGCAACAACACACCATAAGAACAGATACCACACACCGATCTTGATAGACAAATTCATTACTGCAGCACTCTCCATTACTGGGACTTGGTGAAAGGCTTATTGAACCAGCACTCTCCATTACTGGGACTTGGTGAATGGTTAAATAAGCCTCAGACCACAACCACAGCAAGATGTAGAGCAACATGCAGAAATATACATGCATGGAGCAGTATCTCATTAAGCAAATGTGCAAAGACCTGTAAACACAGCTTTGACTCGGGACAAACCTGCAGCTAAGAAGCTAACAGTGGGAGATGCTGAAGCAAATACACAAACAGCTAAAAACATCAGACCTGTCTCATTTGAATACTGAGTAATGAATACACCTCCAGCAGATCACAGATCACACACTGTACAGCATCTGTAGTGCAGCTCTGTGCTCACACACCCATCAGGCATTGAAAGAACAAAGTCAGGCCTGAGCTGCAATAATCCTCACAAAAAGTCTGTTTCTTGGAGATAAACTGTTGCTGATCACAGATCACACACTGTACAGCATCTGTAGTGCAGCTCTGTGCTCACACACCCATCAGGCATTGAAAGAACAAAGTCAGGCCTGAGCTGCAATAATCCTCACAAAAAGTCTGTTTGCCGAGTGTCTACTGATGTGCACACACATTTGTGTGAACTCGTATTTGTGTTGCACCTGAAGATTTGAATCTGGGTCTGCTTTCTGTTCTTTTAAGAAGAAGTCCTAATGCTTATCGTGCATAACTTGAAATATACCATCTGGGTTACTGCTCAGCAGTAGAGCCTGGTCTCCCACTAACTGCCTCAATAGCTAGAGGTACAGTCAGCTGTTTTTACCAGTTTATTAGGTATACCTAGCTAAATCTAATGCAGTCTAATACAACAGTTCTGCATATAAATCCTAGCTTGATGAGGGGTGATCATGTTCAGGGTTTGTTCAAAATGTTTTAGGGATGGGCCGATTCTGTGGTTTGTGGTGCTGCTACACTGCGCTGTGTTACACAGTGAGAGATGACTAAATTAACCCAGATGGCAAAGTCACACTCTGTAAATCCCAAAACAATAAAATAAAGTCACTCTATGAGGCAGATGTGAAGACAACATACAATAAACAAACTGAAAACACTGAAAATAAACTTTTCCTGCTCTGCATACATTTTTAAATTGTGTGTCCTGTACGAGCTGTGTCCAAGACAAATCCGCCTCGTCTTTCACATAGTCTTTTAATTCTCTTAAAGACTAGGCTCATATCGATATAATGCAATGCAGCCACCAAAATACATCAACTCCTCTTTAAAACTGTTTCAACAAAAGCTGAACATTATAACCTATAATGTAAGACTTCTTACAGGAATGTTTTCGAGTGCACAGTTTTTAGCTAGCTGTACATAAGAAAATGGTTTATCAATTCAATTAAATTCTATTTAAACTCATCTCAGGACACTTTACAAAGTAAGGTCTAGAACTTACTATTAATATAGAGGAAAAACCCAACACATCCATCTTGAGCAGCATTTGGCAACAGCGGGGAGGAAAAAACCTCCCTTTAATGGAAAAACCTCTGACAGACCCCGGCTCTTGGTGGGTCTGCCTCTAGATACAAGATGTATGTGCAAGTAAAATCTATATGCAACTTGCATCCACATTTCTCTGCATGTAAGCTTTGTCTAATTTCAGACACTGTAAAACCTAATGAGTGTTCATTCCCCAAGCAACCTCACACTTTACGCAGGATTACATTGGATTGTTTGAATCTGTAAACACAATAATTATCATAATTAATATGCATGCAAACTAAGCAGGTATGGTAATACAGCTGTTAGTTTAGCTTGGCCCTTACCATAACCTACATAAAATAATTAGACGTGATGTTCAGTGCAGTGTTTCAAAGCCTTTACACTGGTCAACACTCCCTCTGCTGGAAAGAGCAGGAATCTTAGTAACCACATCCTGAGCTGCTTCTTCCTTTTTCTTTGAAGAGAGTGGTATTATCCAAATTAGTTATTGTGTTGCAACAGGGCAGGACTGATTTTATCAAGCATAACATCAGTTCAGTTAAGTTATCTTTCACAGACACCTGCACAAGATCATGCAGTGGTGCAAGCTTCATTCCTGAGTTAACCAACACTTCCTCTATGTATGAGAGAAAGAGTGGCCATCTTGCACAACCAGAGCTGCATGACAAGTACCCAACAGGGAAAAAAAATATCTGACATTATATTTGGCATACTCATTGGTATTTCTTCCTAGTTTCAACTCTGGCCCTCTGTCTGTCACTCATTGCTATTTGGCATTCAGTGAGTCTCAGCAATTTCATCTCAGAGGGTGTCAATGCAGAAATTGAAAAGCTTGATGCATGAAGTCTGAGCCCACCTAACGACTTAAGGCCTGACAAACCAGAATGGTACACAGCCTGCATGGCACAAAGGCCTGGCCTAACAGCTATCTGGAAGTGGAGCATGAGCTTGCATATATACACACTGCTGTTAAGGGAGGTGGTGTAAATGAGTTTATCATTAACAACTGGGTTCTTAAAACTGCTATAAAGATACAAAGATCCTAGATCTGACAAATAATCTTGGCCTGAAACTGGTGACGGTCCACCTTTGAGCTACTTGGACAAATGTCTGCACACATCTAGACATACCTGCTGCAGTAAAGAACAACAAACCATCTGTAAGTATGTCCCTTTGTTGCCACAGTTACAATCTAGGTTTAAACTAGACTATCACAGGGTTGTAACTGGAGGTAGGTAAGCTGACCAGGCTGATATAATGGTTAATACTAGCTTACTGTAGACACACTCTAAGTAGAAGATGTCTCACCACAGCACACTGATAAGTTTTACATTTTTATCAAATGTAAAGTATCACACTTAATATACAGCTACTGTATCTGACAGATCCACCAGAAAAGTTGCATATTTCCACATAAAAAAAAAAAAAACACACCCTAAGCAAAGATACACTTCATCCATGCAACAAAGAACTTGGCACAGACATGTTAATGACAGCAAACATATGTTACAGATCTTTTTAGCAGGTATACAATGTGTGCTGGTCCGGCTGTTGGCCCTGAGTGTGCCATCTAGATCATCTTGAGAGGGGCCACTGCACATATTAGTTCCGTTTATTAACTGCGGTGAATCTGGTTGCAAAATAGCACGATAGCAATCGCCGTATTCATGATATTTTGGCTTCACTTTTGCATAGTGGAGGGAACTGGTGATGTCGTGTCAATTGTATATATATATATATATAT